AAACTTATGTGTCATCCATAGAACAAACATAGGTGGCACCATCCTTAAGTTAGCTAGTGACACATGTCCTCCATTTAAAAAAAAAAAAAACTTAATATGAATCTTTCACAAATCATATCCAATTGCTATGATTCACATTTAGGTCCCTACATTACAAATAAGCCCTTATAAAATTTTCAAAAATGAGAGATGTTACACATACAAGTCCAAAAGGGCATGAGGACTTGAATGTACATAGATTTATCGAACAAATGTCATGTGTGAGAAAGTTTAAACCCATGTGGCTTTCCAACTCTATTCCTAAGAAGGATGAGACTTTATGTATGTGTATAGATCAAGGTCTGCCATATCGAATCGTACCGCTCGATACGGGCGGTACGTACCGGTCCGACAGGCGAACGGTACGCAGTGCAGTGCACTGTTGCAGTGCACTGTTATAGTAGCAGTACAGTGCTCGGTGCACCTGAGTGTACCGCTCGATACACCGTACCATACCGGTACCAAGCCCAGGTCGAAACACCGGTACGGTACGGTATTGCGAACCTTAGTATAGATAGCCAAGCTATTAATCAAATCACTACCACATATAGATTTTTTATTCTTAGAGTGGATAATATATTCGATGTGCTTTCTGCTGCACAAGTTTTCTCCAATGTCAATCTTAGAAGTGACTAATCAGGAGACAAATGGAATACAGCTTTCAAGACCCATGAAGATTTATATGAATGGCTAATTATGTCATTTGGGCTTTTGAATGCTCCTAGCACCTTCGTGTGGTTAATACTTAAATTATTCGTCCTTTTATTGAAAACTTTGATGTTGTTTATTTTAATGATCTTCTTGTTTATGGTCACAACAAACATAATTATGTTGAATGTATGAGAAGTATCTTAACAACCTTGAGCAAAAAATCTCTATACAAAGAAATGCTCCTTCATGACCTTTGGCCTTGCTAGGCTTTATTCCAACACTTGCAGGTATCTAAGTGGGTGCATAGAATATCAAGATTATCCAAACATGGTCCACACTGATCACTGATGTCTCCACAAGATGTCCAAAATTTTCACTGATTGACATCTTTTTACTGATGACTCATGTGGATTTTAGTACTATTGTAATCTCTTTGACTGATTGCATGAAGGAAGACTTTTAGTGGATGCTTGAGGTGGAAAATAGTTTTCAACTACTGAAACAGTGAAAATTTCCATTATTCCCTTTGTATCATGAAATTTTAGTGAAATATTTGATAATTGTGTTGTTTGTCATTTGGGCATTGGTGAGTACATAGCTAAGAATGTCATTTGATTGCATTATTTAATGAAAAGTTCAACAATAGAAAAGTAATTATTCAACTTATGATATAGATTTGTATGCCATTGTTCAAGCACCTCAATATTGGAGGTCTTACTTAATTTATGGATAATTCATCTTAAAGATTCTAATCATGAAGCTCTTGAACATTATAAATTCTCGAGCAAATCTAAATCGGTGGTATGCACTATGCAAGATGGTAGTATTTTTTTTAAGAGCACATATTTGTCTTGAAACATAAAAATGAAAATTGCAATCAAGTCGTTGATGAACTTGGTCACTGAGGTGCATTTTTTATCACTATGAGTGTACAACTAGAACAATTTGCTGCTATAAAAGTCATCTATTTCAATGACGAAGGTTTTGGAGAAACTTGGTAGCAATTCAAGAATTGTCATCATAAATACTATGTTATTTAAGATGGTTTTCTTTTTCAAGGATTTTATCTTTTAGTCCAAAATGGTCTATTGGTGAGTAGATTATCAGATAATTACACTTTGATGGGCTGGAAGGTCATTTTGGAAGAGATAAAATTGTTGTTCTCATTAAAATAAATATTTTTAGCCTATAATTCCTTATGATGCTCATTATGTGAAGCGATACCGGCCATGCCAAATTGGTAAAGAACAAGCTCAAATTCTTACTGGATATCCATTACCAATTCGTAATTCTCTATGAGAAGATATTGACATGTATTTTCAGTTGGATTGTCAAAAACCTAGAGGTAGAAATTCTATTTTTATTGTTTTGAAATGACACATTTCATTCATATGCAAAAGGACCATCGATGCATATTATATTTGCTTATCTTTATTTCAATGAGATGGTTAAACTTTATGAAATTTTTAAATATCATACTAGATAGAGACACCAAATTTCTTAGTCACTTTTAAAGAAGTTTATAGAAGAAAACTGAGACCAACTTATATTATAGTAGTGTTTACTATCCTCAAAGAGATGGTTAAACTAAAGTTGTTAATAGAACCTTATGAAATCTACTACGATCATTTTTCTCCAAAAAATAGCAAAACAATGGGATTCATGCTACCTAGAGCTGAATTTGCCAATAGCATTGTTTATGGTCATATTCTATATAACTATCTAACCAATGGGTGATGTACCGCTCTTAATGGTACTATCTGAGTGGTATGTATCGGTCCACTAGCTGATCGATATATGGACTCTCGTTTCGGACGAAAAGTAGGAAAATAGTCAGGTTTCAGTTGGTATAGGTGATGTATCGACTGATGTGGTCGAAACTCGTTGAATCGACTGATACGGTCGAAATTCATTGTATCGGTTGATACTAGATAGTACTAGCTAGAAATTGATCAATATCGATCTAAGTCAAGTCAAATTGATCCTATTGGTCAAATTAACAATTGGAGCTTTAAATCCCCTCTTTCACTCTCTTACTCACTCTCATTCACTCTCCTATTCTCCCTCTCTTTCTCACTCTTTCTCGTATTCTCATTTATGATTGAAGTTATTGATTTGGATAAAAGAGGGATTGAAACTTGGGATCTAGTGGAATTTCTCTCCAATTTGAAGGTATTTTAATGCATATTTACAAAGATTTAACATGATTAATATTTAAGATTATTCTCTTGCGTTAGTCCCAAGGTATACAGTTTCGAATACCGGGCGGTACGTACCAGTCCGATAGTATACCAGTACGCGGACCACCCGCTACCGGGCAGAACGCTTAACATCGCCCCGTATCAGATGATACGGGGTTATATCGGGCGGTAATGATCGAAATTTCGATCGTTACCGCTCGATAACAGTGCTCCAATGGTCAAATTGATCGTTGGAGCCCTTTCTCATAGGTTTTTAAACTCTTCTTCTCCCCTTTTTCACTTCATTTCACTCTCATACTCTTTTAAATTATCTCAAACTCTTTTTTCTCACATTTGCGCTATTCTAAACTCTACAAAACAACGATTTGTGAATTGAATCGAGATTAATTTGAGAAAATTAAGAGGAAGAAATTTCTAATCAAGATGTATTCTCTTTCTTTAATTAGAGGTATGTATTCTCTTTTTTTTATTTTCAGATATTTTCGGATGATTTTACACCTAAATTAGGTATACCGCTCGATACATGGTACTGTACCGTACCGAGCCAAGCTCGAAACACCGATATGGTACGGTACAGTATTTCAATCCTTGGTTAGTCCAATTTCTCTCCAATTTAACATGATTAAGATTATTGTCTTACATGTAGGCTCAAATTGGGGGTATTTAGGGTTAATCACAACCTTATGCTTTTATTTATGCCTCATATACACTCTATTCTTAATTAAATACAATAAAATTACCATTAAATTAGGATAAAAAAGATAAAAAAAAATTTTCAACCTTTTTTCAGTCTTCATCTGAAAATCGGTATGTACTCGCAGACCGTATGTCAGTATGCCAGTCTACCAATACCACCGGTTGGCATGGTACGACAGTCCTTGATCTGGACCTTAATACTATACTTAAATCACCATTATCAACCAGAGAAGAGGATTATGCAATCATCATGGCAAAGATTCATAAGGAAGTTGGAAGCTAGTAATGAAGTTTATAAAGAAAGTGTCAACGGGCATCATCATGTGAAGATTTTTGAAGAAGGATATCTTGTACATTTCTTTTATAAGAAAAAAACATTTTCAAGTAGGAATTTACAACAAACACAAAATAGTTTGGTCTATCAAGTGAATTAATGATAATGCCTAGAAGATAGAACTTTCTTCAGGTATTCATACTTATTCAACATTCAGCATTCAAATTTATCAATTTATCATGACAACAATGATGACTAGTGGATAAGTTCTTTCTCATCAAGAAGGATGATATAGTGCATAACTAGATTTGGTAGAAACAATAGTATTGGAGAATATAAATGACAAGGTTAGATAATAAAATGATAATAATCTCAGGTTTCAAGTCATCAAGACATGTAATTCCAATGCAAGTCACACGTCAAAACTATTAAGTTCCATGGCAAGACATCAAGTTCCAAAACCAATTTCAAACCAAGTTCCAAGGCACTATGAATTAAGTGTCCTGTGACTTTTGTCCTTGTAAACTGAGGTATGGAGAGTTCAAGTAATTGATTAATTACATGGTGGTGGAGATTTTGGTGCACAAATCACCCATAAAAGAAGAGAGAGAGTGAAAGGAGCTTTTAGCTCGTAGTTATTCCAAGAAAGAAAAGAGAAGTTTCCTTTTCCCTTATCACATATACTTTCACACCCTCTTCTCCTTCTTGTTCCATGTCACTACTAGTTAGAGTTTGAAAGGATCAATCCATTTAATTTACTCCCTTTCCTTGCCATATAGCCTTGGAAAGTGGAATGTTAGTTGGTGCAATGTCACTGAATTTCTTGGGCCAAAGGAATAAGACAAATCTTTTGTTTATTAGTAATGTTTAGCTGTTGGTTCATGTTTGCATTTTCTTATTCATTACAGATGAGTAAAATAAGTAACTTTCAAGGAGTTTTTTGCTTGAAAATCAGGATAATGTCTTGGTTGGATGTCTTCTTTTTTATTCTTTTCTTAAACTAATAACTGTGATGCAGTCTGTCAGAAATTGTTCTAGGTATATGAGAATATGGTTTTCGTATTGTAATACACCTGTGGAAATTTGCTAAATATTCAGACATATTCTTACCACCAGTCTATTTTTGTTGGCGACAATAGACTCTATTGGATAACTAAAAGAGCTGGGGAAAAGGAAGGAAGTGAATTGTTGAAGGCAAATGCATGGCACCACCGTTCTGATGCTGTATCATCTGTTGTTGCTCTTGTTGGGGTTGGTGAGAATCTTTTAACAATTTCATAATATTGAAATAGAATTAAGTTTTTCTGTCATTTCCTTGCTATAGTTCTTGATTATTGATCTTTGATCATTTTACTTTACAGATCATTCCAATGAACTCGAGTTTTACAATTAGCAGCCATCTTTGAAAAATATATGGTGACATACATCTCAGTTGTATAGGTAAAAAAGGGTGGGCCATTGCACAAGTCTCCTGCTATTATAGGGTTTAGGGACAGTCAAATGTACATGGTCTTACCTCCGTATCCGGTGAGACTTTTTTCTATGAAGTGGTCCTTAGCTAGATTGACTCTTATTTTGCCTTTTAGACCGCAGGAAAGGTTGCTTTATGTCAGAAGGAAGTCAACCAAGTTTAGGGTTGTTGGGAAGAGGTTCAAAGTCGAATACAAAGATCAAATCCATGTTGAAGACAAATGGGCAGTGCTCTAAACATGTGGGGATGAAGTGGTCCAATTTAGATCATTATATATATCAAGCAAATGTGGGGTTAAGACTGAGGTGGATCTAAGAAAGTCAATTAGTGCTGAGCTGGTTAAAGGGTGTCTCATGCAACACTTGTAGGATGCTTCTTGAATATGTATACCTCCATGAATTATATGATTTCTTAAAGTTATTGAAAATACAATATACTTTAGGATACCTAGGAGATATTTCTTTTGGATCTCCGTTTGGATGTTGACTTTTGTTTTCATCATTTGTTTTTAACATCTACACACTTATTAAATGAGATTAGATAAGTTGTTGATAATTGATATATTGTTTATATTAAGCATTAGTAATAATGAATTAAAGTAATTATCTCACCGCTTTCATGTTAATATTTATTTCTTATCTTCATAGATTTTGAAGTAAGATGTTACTAATTATTTTTCATAATGAATGGGTTAAAATGCTAGCTAATTACTTGTATTATTTATCATGGTACATAAACAAATACTCTAAGTTCCTAACACTATAAATAAATAGCAAGCTTTGTCATATATTATATTATAATTTAGAAATATTTTTTATTCAGTTAAGATTCATGTTTATGAGATCTGACAGTTTTACACTAGTGTTGACATGTAGTGTTTCGGGTTGTGAGCGAAACTAGAATGTCTTTGAGCATGTAAGGATCATTAAATAATTTTGTTTTAATTAATTAATTAATTTAGATAGATGTATTAATATATTTTTAAATTATATGACATGACAGATTTACTCAAAGAGAAGAAATCGGTTGAAACATCAACGATTACATGATCTTGTTTACATAAAATATAATCAAGTTTTGAAGGCTCGTTATGATTTGCAAAATAGAATTGATCCATTCTCATTGCAAGATATTGATGATTCAAATGAGTGGTTGGTAGTAGAAATGAGTGCCAACTTGAAGATGCAGAAGACGAGCTTGTATTTGAAGATGATAGATTGACATAGGGAGATGTGGCAAGAGCTTCAGGTGCTGAAGAATTACAAACATATACAAGATATATGACAAAGAGAAAAATGAGTGCAAAAGCATCAAGCTCGGCTCCTGCTATTATTGAAGACATAGAAAATGAAACATATTTTGATAAAGATAAAGGACAAGGGGAAGGGGATGAATTCAATTAAGATGATTTGTGTGAAAATGACGATAATATTGATTATGATAAATGACTTTGATGTATAATTTTATTGTTTTGAATTTTGAGACTTTTTGTTAATGTGACATTGTGATTTTGTACCTTAGATTTTTTTAATTTAATAGCATATTTTTATTTAAAATTTTAAATAATTATATTTATTAATTATATTATATTTTTATATTTTAGCGTCTCACTTTGCTTGAGCGAGTGCCTAGCGCCTTGGGTGTTTCTGGACCTTGGCACCTTTTGGCACCTAGCACTTTTTAAATCACTGAGTACTCGTATCTACGTCCTTTGGCTTTATGCCAAGGTCTTTTGACTCCAACTTCACCTCCACAAGTTGAGTCACCTTAGTTCCTTCGTCAAATGTTTCGCTAAGATAAGATGCATGTGCCTCGAAGCTCCCTTCGACTTCAGCACTATACAAGATGAGTTCGCTCCATCAGAACGAGGGACCCATGGAACAACATGAATTCGCTCTTGCCTCTGTAAGAGTTCATGTCCTTGACCTCTATCCAAGGAAGCTTTATGCCTTCACTCCATTTCAATCTTCTATGTCAACTCTCTTTATGTGGCTTGGGCACTTCACCAAGCTCTATCCAAGTTGCTTCGCTCCTCAGTTTGCATTGAGTTAATGATGACCCTCATGCTTACCATTCCACGGGCTAGCCTTTCGTTAAGTTTGATCTCCACATCGACTCTAAGTGTATTTTTGTTTGGTGTTTCCTTAGGTAGTCCTCCCACTTGATTTCGCAATGCATCCACCAACACATTACCTCATGCAAAATCATGCAACAACTTGTCGCTCACTCGATCTGTTGAGCTTTATGGAGCTGTTGTCTTGAGGTACCCTTCCTCAACATGTGTGGTCCATTTGCAAACCGTTCACATCCTACAAGAACTTAAAAAGCTACAAGTTTCATTATAAGTTATCGACATCCTAAATTGATCAAGACACAACTCATGATTGCATGAAGTGGAAATCCACGTTCAAAGAATAAGATGTGAACTACAACCTTTCAGAACTGAAACAACTTTGTTTGGTTATAACATATTTGAGTCAATTTAAAGGTGCTAAAGCCAACTCAAATTTATCAAGGTTAGTTGCTGAAGTTGGATAATGGGACCCTTATAAAGTATTCAGCAAACATGTACATGAAGCATAAATGTTTGGCTCATATAAAAAATTTTGCCAATTCAAAATGGACTCCTGGAATATTCAGCAGCAGGATCACCTCTAGCCAGCTGTACAACCGCTAAAAGAACAATTTCATCAAAATCTTGGGTTGGGCTAATTGGATAAAGATTTAGAGAAGTGGTAGTGCTAATGGCTAAAGTGGTTCCATCACTATAGGCACTGATAACGGTAGAACCATTTGTCTGAGCTGACCCACTGTGTGACAATAACACACAAAATTGGCTGCAGTCTGTGGCACCATCAGCCCTGCCAGTGCCCCGCTGCCAAGAAGCCCGACAGAATCCTGCAGCCAATCAAATTTTCTTGGATTTGGTGAAGATTTCGAAAGATGTTTTTCACCAGATGTCAGTATATGTTGAAGGGCAAAATAAGAATTTGAAATTCAATTTGAATATCTTATTATTATAGAATATTGATCACCTCCAAGAATATTAATTATGTCATTTGAGTATTGCCTGCATATATTCTATGAGAAGAGAAAATTAAAAAAGAGTGAGTGTCAACTGCCAATACTTGACTAGCACTTGCATATCCTCTCGAATGAAAAGAATAAGATACCCTGTCAAGTTAGGTTCATTCATAGTGAGTTTATGGCTCTAGGTTGATTTATATACTCAATGTTCTTGTGAGCTCCAGTTTGTAGCTATGGTACCTTTTCTGGGATCTTCGAATGTTGCTTCTCAGTGTGCAAAACAGACAAGTTATGAAAAGAGTGTAAGATTTGATTCTTGGACCTAGAAACAAGAATTAGAGCATGTTTAGTTCGAACTTGTGAAAAAGATTGGGTCTGGGTTTTGTTCTTGAGACTTGAGAGTTGAGCCCAAGGTAAAAGAACAAGTTTGAGTTTGTTCATTAGCTCATGAAAAAGTGTGCCATTTGCAGCCCCTTTAAATATGATAACAAATTTGGACATTTTCTTTTTGATACTTTTAAGGCATTTGGATTGGTCCTCCTTGCAGGTGGTACAGTGATGGGCTTACCTTTCTTAGATCCACTTGCTGGGCTTCTTGTATCTGGCATGATTTTGAAAGCTGGATATGAGACAGGTTACCAGAGGTAACTGTCTTTTTCCCATTTTATCATTTTATATGTACTTTTTTTCTCAAATATTTAACTCAAGCATTTTGTCCAGATATTAATTACATAGTATTTTGTGGACTAGTTAACTGTGGTGGTCAAGTTTGATTTTTCTGTCATGTGAATTGATAAATTGTCTCCTCAAACAGTATAGTTAGTAATAGTAATTTGAAGTACTTCATGGGCTAAATGTTCATATATTTAGTTATTTTGGCCCTTGAATTAATGTATGGTGTCATTCAAATTATGGCAAAATGGCAGAACAGTAACCATATAAATGATTTCTGATTCCAAATGGTCGGGACAACAGCTTCATGTTGTTATCTGAAGTCTAGTATCACAAACATGAAGGTTCCAGTAACATTCCACGGAATTGGTGATGATATGACTCGTGTTAAGCTCAATAAATGTATATGCCTGTCTTCTGGAGTAGTGACACTAATTAGAATCAATGACATCTGAAGCAAGATGTTTATGTGTTAGGACTCTAGCTAGGAGAGTCGTAATTGAGAGAGACATTCATGTAAAACCTACCTAAGCCGACCCCTATTAAAGAGGTGAAGAGGCCGACTAGGGTTAGGAGGTTATTTCTTAGAGAAGAATTAGGAGTTGTAAAGGAATAGGAGTCTTGAGTAGGAGTCCTATTAGGAGTTGGTTAGAAGTTGGAGTCGTGAGTAGGAGTCCTATTAGGAATTAGGATTTAGAAGTCCTATAAATAGCCATGTATTCCTTCTCTTTTCATAAGCAATAGATGAATCTTTTCTGCAGCCTTTGAGCAGCAACTTGGAGGGAAGAACCCCTATAGAGTTCCAAGGAGGCCGATCCCCTAAAGAGATCAACCCCAAGTTGGTCATTTTTTTTATGAAACCAAGCATAATATGAATTGTGAAGTTTCCCTTGCAAATAAATGTCTTTGCTGATTCTGCATCACGTTTTTATCTTATCATAATTAAGAGACTTTGATTTGCATCATTCTGCTGAGAAAATGAATTTGTTAGATATAATCATAAATCAAGGAATTTCCAAAAAATAATAAGTTGGTCACTTTTTTTATGAAACCAAGCATAATATGAATTGTGAAGTTTCCCTTGCAAATAAATGTCTTTGCTGATTCTGCATCAGAAATTCAATAACTCTCCAAATACAGATTGTTCACTTGATCTTAGTATAAAATTAAGCCTTTTTTGGACCTTTTGATTTAAAGAAATGTCTTGAAGTGATTCATTCCGACATTCAAGAATGGGACCATAGATATGAGATATGACCCATAAGATATTTTTGCCAAGATCTGATGCTTTATTTCATGGAACTTTAAGCCTTTATATCCAATAACTTGCACATATGAGCATAAAATTGGTTTAATCATGACTGGGAAACATTTTGCAGTAGAAATAAAAGAATTTGCTGCTTCTTTTCAGTTATTACCACTATGCAGTTGGCTACACTGACGATTTTTTTTTTTCTCTTTTTGGTTTAGTGTCATGGAACTTGTTGATGCTGCTGTTGATCAATCTCTGTTAGTGCCCATCAAGCAGACAATAAATCAAGTTGAAGGAGTCAAGGTAGACTTCAGGTTTTTCTCCAAACTTTCAAACTTGATGAGTGCAAGGACCAGACGTTTTTTTTGCATCTTCAAATGTGGTGCTGTCCTCATAGTCATGTCAATATCAATAATGTTATTAGCAACAACATTGTCTTAATGCCAGAACTTAGTGTTTATTTTCTTGTCTTAATGCCAATAGTGTTATTAGCATGCCATCCATTTTCTGGACTCTTTAATGGTTAGTATTTTGAAAGATTCTCGAAGATGTGTTATGATAAACTAGTTTTGTTTGTACTTATTTTCAATCCTTTTTCATAAGCATAGTTTGTTGAATCAGCTGATATGATATTCCTTTCCTGTATTGGTCGCATCTAATACCAATAGAAAACTTAGCTGATTTATCAATCTTACAATGAAAAATTAGTCAAAATTAATTAGATTTTAGAAGTAATTAATCTCAATTTAAGTTAGCTAGTTTTGGCCAAATTTATATGATTTGTTAAGTCTCTAGAAAAGAAGAAAAAGAATAAGAGAGAAGTGCAAGGGAAGGAAATGAAAAGTGATGGCTTGGTTAAAAAAAGGACAAAAAAACAACCTACAATTATGATTGTGAAACAAAAGGAAATTCTGCTGCAACTATCTTACTCACATCTGCCATTATTGTTGTAATGTTGATCATCCACTCTTAACCTCTTCAAGAAAAATATATACCATAAAGAGAAGGTAAATGACATGGGATTCATAAGTATCATAAAGTTAGCTGGCACCTTTTTCAAATATCTTTTTTTAAACTCTTTGCATTGCCTACTGGAATGATGATTAGAGAAGCTTTGAGTCTATAATGATACCCATCATTATCTTGAAAACTTATATGATTAATTTTTATTTTTCAATTAAGTGTATAATAAATTTTCCAATTATTTTAATTTCTGTTACTTCTATTTTGTCTTTTATTCCATTTTTTCTTTTATATTTCAATTTCAGATGTATCTCTAGGGAGTTATATGGTACATGAAGGTATAAGAAAATTTCAGCATATATCATCTTTAGTTTTATATATTTTATAGTATTATCTAACATAAAATTATCTTCTCAACTGATCTGATCTGATCTGATCTGAACAATTATGCTAATCCTGGTTACATCCTCGCTAGTAAATTGTGGTCCTGTATTCTGATCTTGTGAATCATATTCATAAAAAAAGTAACTACTTGAGTAAAGGTATATATTTTGAATTTTCAGGTCATAATAGCACTACATGTGATATTGAATAATATGTCCAATCAAAAGCAACATCATGACAATGTTGTTTGAACAATAAATTGAATTACAATCTAAAACAAACATTGTGATAAAGATCTAATACATGAAGCATATTACTAGAATAAGTTGGGATCTAGCGTTCTTGTGTATACTGATTTTCTGTGAAAAAAATTGAAGTGAATAAGATAGCAGTTACAAGTCTTATTCTCCTTCCCCTTAAAAAAAATTCTGAACTACCGTTATAACGCCCAATATTACTGAATATTTGAAGCTGTCTGCTAGGATTTTGATTTTCATATTTTGGGTTTGAACTTTATCATGAAATTCTACAACAAAAACTTGGGTTCCCTAGGTATCTGAATTTTTATTTGCTTCCCAGTTGTCTGTGATAATTTTCCCTTTCTCCCCTTATATGATCCATTTGCCTGTCAATTGGAAAATATGTCACACATCCTGAAACGAAATGAGTAGAAAAGGCATCATCTTAATTCTTAAAGACTTAAACCATTGGTGTTACAGCCACAAAAAGAAAAAAAATTCAAGCATATAACTAAATAGAAGGGCAATTTTAGACAGCAATTTGACTAGTATATGGAGGAGCTAAATGATTTCTCTTACTGATCTTATCCATAAATATTGATGATGAGTGAACATAACAAGAAAGTAGTTGCAACAAAAGATCCATGTAACTAACCCCAAATACTTGGGACATTAAAGCGTTTTGTTGTTGTTGTTGTAGTTAACATAAGAAGAAAACTGAAATGTGTGGATAGCAATTCAACCATGAATGCAATAGGATTTGAGTGAAAATTCTTCATCCATCTTAACTTCCATATGACTTGTCCATGTAGAGTAACAAGCAAATGCATTAATAATATTATCTTGTTGAATGTTGCATCAAAAGAACAATCTACAGTTGATGAACATATTAAAATAATGCATCAAAGAAGTATTTAAACATAATTTGAGAGCAGATACATAATATTGGTAAATTCTGGAGTAACATATCTGAGTTTGTGTAGGTTTCTTGGTCTTTGTGGATGTGAAAATGTAAGTTTTCTTTCACATTTCAGAGGCATTAGCATATTAGTAAACTTGGTTTCTCAATTGCCCCCACTCCCTTTTTGTGCATATTTGTAGAGAAACCTCAGATTGGGTTGTTCCTATTGTTAAGCATATTTATTTGGAAGTTGTTCTTTGCTTTTCTTTTTGTTAAACTTGTTCTTGGTCTGTTGGCATTTTGGCAGCTATTTTTAGATGCCCACTTATTAGTCTCAGGTTGAAGGATTCAGATTCTCACTTCTACGTGGACAACATAGATGCTCAGATAGACATATAGAGTAATATGTAAATATATCCAAATATATGTAACACATACATTTCATCAATGGATTAAAATTTGGTATGATAGCTCGTATTTCTTTTGATATGAGATGAAATAGATTAACACATATATTAACAAACTTTTGCAGTGTTCATTGATAAGCCTCATATATAAGATTTCTCATCCCTATTCTACTCATATTTGCTTTAATGCTTTACTGACTTTTCTTTGGAGCTATAAATTGCACTTGTGTATTTGTCAAAAGATAATAATGCTCCTAGAGGTTGCTGCTGCATATTGCTTGATGTGAAATTTATCATGCTGGTGATATAGGGATGCCACCGCTTGAGAGGAAGAAAGGCTGGGTCATTCATATATCTTGATGTACACATTGAGGTATGTCAGTTCATAAGACAATTCATAGTCGTTATGAAGGACTTACCTATATTTATTGAGGCTGGAGTTATGAAGGATGTTGAACTTGGAACATCAAACCTATTTAATATGTGGGCACTCATTTTTCATTCAGGAGTGGCATTTTTTATTGATTAAGGGCCTAAAGTCTCATTAATGTTTTCTAGAAGAACTTAACTTTTGATTGTGATGCAAATTAATTTAAAGTTTGTATTTTTTATTGCATGACCAACAAGGTATTGGGCAGCACAAAAATTTAGGTACAGTTATAAATACCAGTCTGGTCGGTATGTGCAGACCATTATTTATTGGTCCAAGGATTGGTATCAGGCTATATAGCTTGTTACTGGTCAATATTTGTTTTTTCTTATGGTATATTGGTCAGTACAGGTTGTTATGTCACCTGATATACTGGTACTATACTGGTTCAACTAAGATTTAAATTTTTGGATTTAGGTTTAAAATCAGTGATAGAAAAAGTAAATATATCTTTTTCATTTTGGAAGCTTCCATATTTGATACACCCATAATGGTGTATGATACTCTGTCATGACTGATTTTTAATTTTATGAAATTTTTGTTGTTATAATCACCCCAACTGTTTATGATCTGATCTTCCTTTCCTTTTACAACACTTTCTGGACTCTTGGTTTTCTTACTTTGATAATTAGGCAGAAGCTACTATTTTACTTATCCAGAGATAGTAATCTTGAATTAGGTTTTACAGGTAGATCCTTTCTTGAGTGTGAGTTCTGCTCATGATATTGGTGAGAGTGTTCGTCATCAGATACACAGGTGGCATAATCAAGTTGCTGAAGTTTTCATTCATATTGGTGATTAACTCTACCTCCTTTTTCCAGATTTATTGTGATGAATGTATGACAGATTTTAAAGCATGGTTTTTCATAGAAGTGTTTGTTAACAAACCAAGATGATGAGTGAGCATTCTGAAGAAAATTAACTAGTTTTACATCTATTCACTTGTTTTCGGGGTTAAGGCTTATTGTCAGATGAGATGCATATAAGAACTTTTGTTGTGTAAAGTTACCTGTTGTTATCATGCTGTACCTATTAATTGAAGAACATATGGCAACAATGGAATGACCTCCATGAAAAACAGTCCACTCTTGTTTATGGTGTCGCTGTTGGAGTGATTTCTCATGTTGACATCTACTAGTTTAACACATACTAATCTACTAGTTTGGGCAGGTACTTTTTCAACTTGTCTATTCTTGCATCATGTGTCAATCTTTATTGATATCTAAAAATTGGAACTTCAGATCCATCATATTCACACTCCTCTATTTCGGAACCACAAAAGATTGTGAAAGGCTTAGAAGGTCAAAATTCCATCACTCTTTCCAGACAACAAGAAGCTAAAGCCATTGTTTCTGATGTACTGTCAATGCAATTCTCAGAGGTATTTATTGCTCAAAAAGATCATTTTGAGATATAAAGTGTTTCTCCCTATATATTCTGAATTATATCTGAATTCATGCTCAAACACATGATTATGCCTGTTTATAACCATTTTAGTGAAACAAGATGAAATATATATTGCACATGGGATATAAAAATGTCTATGGTAAATTTTCTTCAATGGATCCCATCTCAATCATCTTGTTTTTTGATCATATACTAACAAATTTTATTCTAAATTTTGGTCATCCTTGTACTAATATTTGTTTTGTTAAAGTGCCTTGTTTAGATTGACCTTTTAAATTCTGGTAGAGGTGGAGCTGTTAGTGGTGAGAGGTGGTTGGGGAGAGAGGAGGGAGCAGGGAGAGGAGTTCATGGTGTAGATGAGGTGTGGCAATTAGAGGAGACGATGGTGATGGGAGGAGGGAGCAGTGGGAGTCAGGAGAAGGGCAAAGCAACCAGAGTAGGTGGTGGTAGGAGGAGAGGGGGCATCAGGGGTCAGCAGATGTGGTAGTAAATATTTAGAATATTTTAAAAGAACAAATCAAAGGACAAAATCTGTAGTATATGGATCAAGATCAAGATCAAAATTGATGAATGATTGAGTGGATAACTGGATCAGGATTCATCAAAATGTAATTTAGTAGTCAACCAAAAAAATAAATTAATGATAATAAACAATAACAGTTATCTATACCAAAAAAAGTATCCTATGCATTCTAAAAGATCTAATTATTCAGAAATTATCATAAGCTAAAGTTGATGAAGCCTAATCATTGGTTTAACCTAGTTGCTGGAGCATTTATGAGGATTCAACTACCCAAGAATCCATGAAATTCTTAGTGGAAGTTTCACAGGGCTATAAGTCACAATTTTTGGCAGCCTTAAGGTACATCATTGTTTAGGGGGTTGCCTCAAATCATTTGCTGGCTTTTGAATGTAACTCCTATGGGCGCTGTTCCTGTTCTTGCATATCTTGTGTATGGCCATTTATTTAGTTAGCTTGTTCCTTCACTTAAATCATTAGGGGTCATTGTTTCATTGCTTGAATTCATTTATTTAAAATTATTTATGAATTTTCTTTTCAATTATAAGCCAATACTAAACAAAATGGCAGTAAATTTATTGAAGGCATTTATTTATTGCTGATCACTAATTGTCATGTTGAAAAAATTGTCATGGCAGAATTACAATTGTTTTTCACCTGCAACTGGTAGAGTTTCTTCTATTTGGCTTGTGTTTTGCAACTCTTATTCTAGAATTTCAAATGCATAATATCGGGAATTGTTTCAGCAAATGTCCCTTGAATGCATTACACTCCACTCCTTGCAAGGGAAGTTGTTAGTTCAGGCTCAAGTCTCAATGCCTGCAGAGTTTCTAATACGGTAATCCATTTAAGACACTCATTTGTAAGTAACCTGAAATTGATATTAGTTTTCTTTTTTAAAAAAGTTCAGTTTTATGAGATTGTGTCATCTAAAATGAGTTATTCTTTTTTTGTCATAAAACTCCCTTCATAATTCTGTCTTCTATAATTTTACCTGAAAGGGATGCTATGGAGATAGCAGCACATGCAGAAAAGGAGATCCTGGCAGCTACATCCACTATCAACCAAGTCAGCATTCAACTGAGACTGGGCAGACCGATATCAAAACATCATGAACCAGTTGACAGAAAAGAAGAAATAGAGCACTCTCAAACTTAATGCACCATTTTGCTGTTAGCTGGTCTGCAAGACTCGTTGTAACTTTACAAACTGCTGAGAAATATTCGATTACAGAGAGGTGCACGCACTTTAAGCACAGTTAAATAGGATGGTTCATAAATCCACACTACACTGATGGCATGCTCATGAATGGCGATGGAGCATCATATTATACACATTTTACTTTATACTTCCAAGTCAAAATTTACAGAATACTATGCAGAAAAGGAATTCCTGAAGTTAAGGAATATGTTTGTAAACCATATAATAAATCACAGAGGTAATAGAAAGGGCGTTTTTTGGCCTTGTTTTTCTTCTTCTGTTTTTTTGTGTGTGGGTTCAAACAGATGCATATTGGCATTGGTTGGGAGCTGTGGCATCAACAAAGGATTACTTGAAATTTTGTTGTCAAAGCGCTCTCGTGTTGGATTGGATGCATTACCAATGTTTGCTGATATGGTTTGCTAGTTGATATGAAAGGGGAAAAAGCATCATCAAATCACGTGGCTCAAAATTGGTCTTAAGCTACTGATCGATAAGTTACTAATTGTTGTACATGTAAGACTTGTACACGAAGTCTAATCAAGCTCGTTAAATCAGGACTTGATTATAATACGTATTATCTTCTGTAATTAACAATAGTTTTGGATACGTTCTAGTTTGGAAGCGATTCAAGATGTTCTTATACGTTTCAAACTGATTAAAGTGATGCTGAACACTCAAAAACTCCCTAATAATAGGCTCTCTCTTTTAGCTCGCAACAAAGAGACATTATTATCATTTTTTATCTAAAATATGTTGTGGATTTTTTTTTTTTTTTTCTTGACTCAGAGAAATTCTCTCTCCATCCCCACTTGATATTTTCACCTCATCCAAACATGATTATGTTAGGACTCTAGCTTGGA